TTCCGGTGACATTACAACCGTAATGGCGCAGCCTCGTGTCTGGGCTTTCCATATTAAACTTTTTCCATGTTTTTGAAGAAAAAGTCTACAAAATTCTACAAAATCACCCATAAATTTGGTAAAAATTTGTGCTTTCTGATTTTCGCCTTGGTAGAATATCCAACATAGTAACAAATATTACAATATGTTTGGCCTAATTGCATTTCAGTGGACCCTCACCATCTACTGCAGTAATGCATTCAAAAAAGTGACTCGACTCAGTGTCAGTTATCTCGACCAAGCCGTTTGCATTAGACAACCCCCCGCCCCTCCACCACTGGCGGGTGGAACACAAGATGGTTGCGTCGGCTCCAGCCAAGGCAATGTGCTGCACTAACACACGGGGCATGAGAAAAGGTCTACCTATCCCCAGTAAAAACAAGGTGACTGCAACAACTGGCGCTTTTTTTCCGAGCCATATAGGCGGCACTACTAGGCCGGAGTTGGTGTGTCGTCGCCATGCAATTTAAAAAATAGGCTTTTTATTATTTATTTAAATTGCTATCATGACTACATCTAAATTTCCCTTCAGTCTAATAAGGTGGACAGTATTCCAAATTATTCCCCATTTATTTTGTCATTGTTAAATTAGGGGGCAAAAAAGCAAAGCACCTTAATTAAACCGGTCGCCAAAAAGAGGGCTGTTGCATCAGGCCAAAAATTCATGGCGATTTTTTACTAGTTGCCATTAAATTCCTGAGAACTTCAGGAAGAACAAAGAGGAATGTGTTCTGGGGCCGTAGGCTTCCCTAGCAGTCTCTAAATTTACAAGTGGTATAAGTTTTGGAAGCATTCAGTTCTTACGCTGCAAAAAACCCACTTTTACACTTGATATTCTCTTGTTAAGTTCACATAAATCCTTCCTCCTCCTAGTTACGAGTGTTTGGCATGATTGGGTAGTTTCGTTGCATTTCCTAGTGTTGCCTTTCACCAGCACCTAGCAACGATGGAACAAACAACTCACTGCACGATTGATGTTAGGTCCTGCAGGATGAATGAGCTTGGTCCTGACTAATACATGGCGTCTCGCCTCTTCACGGCGAATAAAGAATAAATTAATAAATTTGTCCATTTTCCTTTCGGTTTTTACCCAAGATAATGTCCACTTTTTTGAGTTTGCTGCAGAAGAATAGGGCTACCCCTTTTTCTGAGTACTTACACACCAAAATTAAGTAGATTTGACAGAAAAGAAATGCAGCATTATGTGAAGAAATTGACATTTGCGCAACTCCCTCTGATATGCGATTTATTATACCAACAAACAAATTCGTCTGTCCAAAAAAAGTGACCGAAAAGCCACCACTGTTGATGAGTAGCTTGCAGGCCTAATTTTGGTAGTGGAAAAGGAAACAAAAGGAGGATAAAATGAAAAAAAAAAA